GCATCATCATGTTAGGTTTGTCTGACTTTGGGCCTCACAAATGGTGGTGGTGTGATGCATTTTTATCTCAGGTATATCTATGCATAGAATTATAATAACTACCTTTGATGACATTCTGCTCTGGTGGACCCAATATGAATCATGCATACCACTATTGTTAGTGCCAGTGCTGATAGACTTGTAAGTTATAACCAGTGCCCCAGAGCAAGGTTGCTTCTCAATGAATGACACCTCATGATATCACAGAGTTCTTTTACCTTGAAAATCAGGGGAGGATAGGTAGCCTGTGGAATCACTGCTCTCCCTAACTGGACTGTAAACAAAACAGTTTATTTCAAATATAAGAAGTCACTTCCACTGTAGAGTGTGATGACATAGGTGAATGCAATTGTAAAAACTTATTAGTCGTGCACTTGAGAGCTTTACCTTTTATTGAATAAAAAGTATACCTCAAAAAAAAAAAACCTGATAAAAACAAGAATAAGAGGCCAGAGGAGGAGAACAGGGGTTTTTGAGAATGAGACTTAAGAATAGGGAGGAGGTCTAGCCAAGAATGCATGGCCACAATGTAGTAAGGAGATGTCAGACAAACTCCAAATCAGGAAAGCTCTATTAACAAGCAGAGGGGTCATGTACTCTTAAAAAAAGTCAGTGTCACAAGAAACAAAGAAAGGCTATGGAAACGTTCCAGATTGAAGCACTGCATCCTGTCCTGGAGGGGAAAATGCTATAAAGAGCACCATGAAGATTAAATGACAATTTGATTATAGATGGTAGATTAAAGTACTGTCAATGTAGCTATATGAAACTGATAATTATGCTATAGTTATGTAAGACAGTATCTCCATTCTTAGGAAATATGTTTCAACATATTTAGGGGTAAAGACCCATCAAGTATGTAACTCACCCAGAAATAGATTAGAAAATAGTTATGTATGAATGTGTAAAAATACATCTATATGTACACACACACACACACACACACACACTCCCTATTGCTTACCTTGGGAAGAAAAGAAGAAAAAGGATAGGTTTGGGTCTTGTTGCCAAAGTCAGTTCAAGGTTTGATAGGTGTTTTTCCAACATCTGTACCTCCACGCAAACACGTTGTTATCAGAATCCCCTCTTTCAATCAATGATTCCTGAAAGCCACATCATACCCATAGCTGATTCATGAAAACCTTGACTCCTGGTCAGGTCACTGTTACCTGGAAATGAATGGGGCTTAGGCAAAGTTTAGACACTGGGACAATTACATTGATTCAGTTGAATTGAATGCACACGAGTGAGAAGGGAGGGAAGTGAAGAGAGTGGGAGAGAGAACTCACAAAAAATAAGCAAATGAGCAAAAAGGTTGGCAATGGATAAATCTGGGTAAATGGTATGTATGGGCATTCTTTATACTGTTTTGCTTTTTATTCTTCTTTTGCAAATTTGGGATTATTTCCAAATAAAAAGTTTTTTCAAAAAAAATTGGGAATGAAGGCGCTAGAAAGAATTCCAAGGCCGAGCGCGGTGGCTCAAGCCTGTAATCCCAGCACTTTGGGAGGCCGAGACGGGCGGATCACGAGGTCGGGAGATCGAGACCATCCTGGCTAACATGGTGAAACCCCGTCTCTACTAAAAATACAAAAAAACTAGCCGGGCGAGGTGGCGGGCGCCTGTAGTCCCAGCTACTGGGGAGGCTGAGGCAGGAGAATGGTGGGAACCCGGGAGGCGGAGCTTGCAGTGAGCTGAGATCCAGCCACTGCACTCCAGCCTGGGCGGCAGAGCGAGACTCCGTCTCAAAAAAAAAAAAAAAAAAAAAAAAAAAAAGAATTCCAAGAGCTTCACAGTATAAACTTGGGTCAGTTTGGAGTTGTGTCAGTATCCTGGTGATGGGAGTCACCGTGATAATTATACCGCACTAACAGCCATAAATGGGTAATTCCAAAGCAATAAAAGCTAGATTGGTTATGTGGCAAACCTGGGAGAATGAGAGAGAATTTCCTTATTGCTTACTCTGCAGAGAAAAGGAAAACAGTACAGGAATTTTGTTGACAAGGCCAGTTGGAGGTTTGATGAGTGTTTTCCCAACATCTGTACTTTCAAACAAGCAGATTGTTATCAAGATCCTCTCCTTCAATCAGTAACTCCTGAAAGCCACTATTTACCCATAGTTGCTTCATGAAAACCTTGACTTCTGGGTCAAGTCAGTGTTACCTGGAGACGAAAGCAGTTCAGGCAAAGTTTATACGTTGGGACAATGACATCTATTCTGTCTAATGGCAAAATTTCCTCAGATGAACCAGGCAGTAGCACCGTGGATTTGGAAGAGGAAGGCATGCCTAGTGATCTCTCAGTGGGCTTTCAAAGGCCATCATGTCTGATCTTGCTCAGAGGGGCCTTGTGCCCCCAACGGTGGCTACCACCCCGGCTCACCTCCTATGGGATCCACTGTGGAAGAAGTTGGCTCCTGCCCACACTGAAGTTGGCCTAATGGTTATGGCAGGGATTCACTCCCTTCCCCACTGGCAGATGGAAAATACAGCATGGGTTTGTTCAAGCACACTTCCCAGGCACACAGAAGCCTCCCCCTCAACCTCACCTGCTTCTGGGATGAGTTAAAGTACAGATTGCACTTTATTCTCCAGTTTCCAGACTGTGGAGTCATGAAGCTAAATGCTCCTAACATTTCTGCTGGTAAAGATGGACTGTTTGGGGGACTTGGACATTGACCTATATGATGAAAGCTGTCTGCCTGTTTACCAGCATGTGTAAAACCAAACTGAAACACTGTACAGAGAATTAAACTCAGGTGGCAAAATAGGCTTGTGGTCACAGACAAACTTTATTCTATTTCTTTCCTGGTCATGTCACATTATGTTATTTCCTGGAGAAGGGAAAGTTAAGAACAAGAGCCTACTTTATCTGCACTGGGTCTGGAAGGTCTGTCTGGTCATGAATCAAAGCCTCATAGCAGAGAAGGATCCATAGCAGAGAAGACAAGCATCAGAGCAGGAGATGGGTAGCAAATGAGAGAGAGGCAGAGTCTCTGCTGGCTATGTGCACGCCTAGAAGAACCTGGAGACAACCCCTGAGCTGCCAGCATAGACTACTGAGGTTAGACAAGAAGATAGAAGCCCTGGGTCCCAGGACTTTGGGGTCCAAGAGCCCCAGTTCTGCCCTACAACTGTTTAGGGCACAGCGTGGCCAGGGCTGGAGTAAGTCACTGAGAATATACCCAGCTCTCCAACCTGTGGGTCCTGCCACCAATTCATGTCAGCAACTTTGGTCTCAGTTGATAGCTCATTAAGCCCCTACAATGTTCAAATCACCATGCTGGACACTGTACATGTATTACTTTATATGCACTCCTGACAACCTCTCCCTCTTTTAACGTAAGGAAATGGGCTGAAAATGCTGACTTGCCAAGGTAAATTTCGAATTATTTCCAAATAATTTTTAAAAAATTATTGATTTTATTTTTATAAAATTATAAATATTAAATTATAGATTTTAAATTTTATATATAATTTATAAATTATTTTCTTTTTTATTGTGCTTAACTTTTATTTTCTTTTTTTTAATGATACTTTAAGTTCTAGGGTACATGTGCACAACGTGCAGGTTTGTTACATGTGTATACATGTGCCATGTTGGTGTGCTGCACTCATTAACTCATCATTTACATTAGGTATATCTCCTAATGCTATCCCTCCCTCCTCTCCCCATACCATGACAGTCCCTGATGTGTGATGTTCCCCTTCCTGTATCCAAGTGTTCTCATTGTTCAATTCCCACCTGTGAGTGAGAACATGCAATGTTTGGTTTTTTGCCCTTGTGATAGTTTGCTGAGAATGATGGTTTCCAGCTTCATCTGTGTCCCTACAAAGGACATGAACTCATTCTTTTTTATGGCTGCATAGTATTCCATGGTGTATATGTGCCACATTTTGTTAATCCAGTCAGTCTATCACTGATGGACATTTGGATTTGTTCCAAGTCTTTGCTATTGTGACTAGTGCTGCAGTAAACATACGTGTGCATGTGTCTTTATAGCAGCATGATTTATAATCCTTTGGGTATATACCCAGTAATGGGATGGCTGGGCCAAATGGTATTTCTAGTTCTAGATCCTTGAGGAATCGCCACACTGTCTTCCACAATGGTTGAACTAGTTTACAGTCCCACCAACAGTGTAAAAGTTCCTATTCCTCCACATCCTCTCCAGCACCTGTTGTTTCCTGACTTTTTAATGATCGCCATTCTAACTGGTGTGAGATGGTATCTCACTGTGGTTTTGATTTGCATTTCTCTGATGGCGAGTGATGATGAGCATTTTTTCATGTGTCTGTTGGCTGCATAAATGTCTTCTTTTGAGAAGTGTCTGTTCATATCCTTAGCCTACTTTTTGATGAGATTGTTTGTTTTTTCTTGTAAATTTGAGTTCTTTGTAGATATTTTTATAAAATTATAGATTTTAAATTTTATGTATAATTTATAAATTATTTTCAATAAGCAGTAGAGCTAGGATTTGCAGCCAGGACAGTCTGGCTCCAAATCTCATATACATTTTGCCCCGCCACACTGTGCATAAGTGTGTACACAGACACATACACACATACATACACACACACGCATGCACGCGCACACACACACACACACACACAGAGCATGTTGGATTTTCTAGCTTCAAAAAAGAGCTTAGTGTGGCTTGTCATAGTTGATTCTAGACATTCTGAAGTCACATCTGCTTCGAAAGAAGTAGTGGTATTGACCTAAAGTAACTGGTGTTCTATCATGTGGCTGAGATTATCCCCAGTCTGGCTGTGTATATTGGCAGGCGCTCTTGTTGGGACCTCAGTATCCTGGTTTGAGCTGCCAAGGTCAGATTTGGTAAAAGTTGATAGGCTACATGAGAGGGAACTGTCAAAGGGCTGGGCTGGCTCCAGTGTCAGGGAATGTCCAGTCTCTTACGCCCTGGGTCACTTGCCACCTTCTCTCCCCTGTCTTTGCAGCCAACCTCGGTTTGAAGTCCAAGGCAGTGGCTCCTGTGGAGCAGCCAGCATACCAGGGGCCCGTGCACTGCATTACAACCATTGTGAGGAATGAGGGCCTGGCAGGGCTGTACCGGGGGGCCAGTGCCATGCTGCTGAGGGATGTCCCAGGCTATTGCCTCTACTTCATCCCCTACGTGTTCCTGAGTGAATGGATCACACCTGAGGCCTGCACAGGCCCCAGCCCCTGTGCCGTGTGGCTGGCGGGCGGCATGGCAGGTAAGAGCAGCAGCAGCTGGAGCCGTACCCCTGTGCAGGCCATGGCAGTGGGACAGCTGGGGAACTGCCATGCCCTTCTCAGCCCAGGGGGAGGGCAGGACACATTTAGGTACTCACCCAATAATTATTTGTTAGGTACCTACTGTGTCCCTGGTCCTCTCCCACCTCAACCTCATCCCTTTTCCTATGCAGCTATGAGAATGGCAGTTCCCATTTGAACCCATTTGACTTTAAGGCAATGGATATATTTTGAACACATACTCTGTGTCAGGCATTGCTAAGCTTTGGAAAGGAAATCCATGATCATGGTTCAGTTTATTAAATGCAACCTTTGTGATGTAAGGATGCCATTAGTTCTACAAGGCAGGAATCAGTCTCCCCATTTCACAGATGAGAAAACTCAGGTCCAGAAATGTTAAGTAGCCAATCCCAGGTCACACAGCTGGTGCTGACAGTATAGCAGGGACTCTGCAGCCAGAAAGATTTAAGTTCAAATCCACACTTCATCATTTTGTGACCATGGCCTGGCTGCTTAACCTCCCTGCTCAGAATCCTGCACCACATCCCTCTTTCATTTAAGGTAAAAGTTGACATCCTTGCAATGGTTTTCCAGGCTCTCAGTGATCTAGCTCCCTGTTCCCCACCCACCTCACTTCTACTCCTCTCCCCTTCCGCACTTCCTCCAGTCACACTCGTCTCTGCTGCAACTTGACCATGCCTGGCCCTTCCCCGACCACAAGGCCTTTGTACCTGCTACTCACACCTCCTGAATTTAACAATGTGGAGGCCACTGGGGATTTTGGTAAGGGCCATTTGATGGAGAGAAGGGTGTAAAAACCTGATGGAGTGGGCTCAAGAAAGAATGGGATGAAGGATATTGGTGCACCCAAGTATACACAACTCTTCTGAGGGTTCTGCTATGCTGTAATGAGGAACAGAGAAACAGAGCCATAGCCAGAAGGGTTATGGAAGTCAAGAGAGGATGCTTTTTAAGAAGGCTGGCATCATGGCATGTTTGATGTGATGGGAAAGATCTAACAGAAAGAAGAAAATCATGAATCCTCCTCCTCCTCCCTCTCCTCCTCCTCCCTCTCCTCCTCCTCCCTCTCCTCCTCCTTCTCTACCCCCTCCTCCTACTTCTCTTTCCCCCTCCCCCTCTCCTCCTCCTCCTCCTCCCTCTCTTTCTCCTCCTCATCATGACAATTTGCCATGCTGTCAGCTCATAGCGAACACATAATGAAGCTGATGTCTTAGCCACCTAACTACAGTTTCACCTTCTGGCCTCCAGGTGCCTGTGCTCATGCCCAGCTACTAGTAAGAGCTCAGTCAGGACTGACTGGCAGAGAAGACTGCAAGGCCCCATCTGCTCTCACTTCTGCAGAGAGCAGGTGTGAATGGCCTGGCAGGCAAATCCCGTTTTGTGATGCCCTTTCCCATGGGCGGAGGGACAAGGGAGTGCACCAGGGCAGTACCTGGGGAAGTGGTCCCATTGTCCAGGCAGAAGGCACAGGTTTAGAGAGGCTCTTGGAGGACCAAGGGCAGGAGGCTGAGGGGACCAGAGGCCAGGATAGGCCAAGGGCCAAGGGCAGTCTAAGGTCTCCTTTGGGAGCTACTGGGCAGCAATTACAAAACCATGCAAACCAGTTGCCCTGGACTTTAACATCAATTTGTTTTTCTCTCCTCATCTAGGAATATACGAATTTCTGTGTTTATATAATAACGTGGCATTGTTTTCCTAGAATTCCTTACCTGAGCATATCCCATGAGGATGGCCTGGCGGCACGTGATCCTAAGGCTTCTATTCCACATACTTGAAAAAGAAAAGAGATTTTTCAAAAAGCTGTCCCTGCTGTGTTTTTGCAACCCCCAGGCTGGCCCTTCCTTGGTGAGCAGCCTGTCTGCATGTGTTTGTTTAGCTTCTCTGGGTTCAGAGTAAATCCTGCCCTCAGCGAGCTGCAAACCTTCAGCCTCATGCCTCACCCTGGGCTCCCTTCTGGTGCCCCGGGAAGGTGCTGCCAAGTACCTGTGGAGCCTGTTACTCTTTCTCCAATAAAAACTGCTAATAAAGACAGCCACGTCTCGAGCACTGGCTGTGGACTGGCACTGTGCTCAGTGCTTCACGTTCATCAATTCATTTGGCCCTCAAAACAGCCCCACAACGATAGGTACTGCCACCCCATTTTATAGACGAGAAGCCCGAGGCTTAGAGAAGGGAGGAAACTTTTGCCAGGTCTCACAGCAAGTGGCAAGCGAGAATCAGAAACAAACTTTGCGGGTTCTACTCCTGAGCTCTGTCCCTTCTCCCGGTTTAATGAATCTCTAAATGGTAGAAATCCGCAAGGAGCCAGGCCCCTCCAGATCCTAAGGAGCCAGCCCCTGACACCTGTTTCTTTCTCTTTGCAGGAGCAATTTCTTGGGGGACAGCGACTCCTATGGATGTTGTGAAAAGTCGACTCCAAGCTGATGGGGTTTATTTAAACAAATATAAAGGTGTCCTGGATTGTATCTCCCAGAGTTACCAGAAGGAAGGTCTTAAAGTAAGCCCACAGCAGGCCTGCGGGGTCAGTGTCAGTTCCTGGAAGGTGATTCACACATTTAGGGGGATGTGGGACTACAGAGAAGGGAATCAGGAGATCAGGCAGCTGCCGGTGATTATGTGTCAGGTGCCACAAGCGGGTGCTTTGTCAAGCACTTCACCTAGGTGGTCTTTTCACATGGCCAGTGGAGGAGGTAGATATGTGACCTACCTGACAGAGGTTCAGAGAGGGCTGGTAATCTGCTTGCAGCCACACAGCTGGTCCATGGTGGCGCCTAGGCCTGGTCTACGTCTGTCTGTCACCACAGTTTGCCTTCTCATCAAGATAGGTTGGGCAGTCCTTCCTCACTCATGGCTCAGTGCCTTCCCCACCCCTCCTCCTGGTGGGAATTGCCAGAGCCGCCTTGCCTCCTTCCTGTCCTCAGTCAGCTCATTTCACCAGCTCCAGGCCCTGTGAACTGTCTTCTGCTCTCCCACCTAAGCCCTGACCCCAGACCTCTGATCTCGGCTGAGGAGGCAGCCTCCGACCCATTTCCATTGGCTGTGTCTCCTCCGTTCTTCCTACAGCTCAAGAGCTTAACCTAACACACACCCCTTCCTACCACCTGAAAAGGTGCTGCCCCAGGATAGACCAGACTTCCATGTCCAGTGTCCAAGGTTATAAACAGATTCATCACCCTCCGGAGAAACCATCCTGCTGGCTCTTTCTTGCACGGGCTCCTTGCTTTCTTGGTGTGGCTCTTAGAGTCAGCAGATGTGGGTTCAAAGTCAGATGTAGCTACTGTGAGCTGGCAGGATCCAAGCAAGCAGCTTCATGTCTCAGGGCCTCAGTTTCTTCTAGAATGATCATCCCTTCCATGAAGCGTGGGGCATTTGTGGGTTAATACAAAAAGCACTCCATTCAATATGTAACCCATAGGGAAGAGTTAACCCTTTCTCATTTGCATTAGTATGATCAGTATTGATTTTATTAGCACCAGCGTTACCCCAGAGCTCTGGGTCCTTTCTCACATGGCTGCCCCACCCCAGGCCCTGCCAGATGAGTCTACCCATCCTTCCAGGCCCAGGGCAGTCCACCAGCCTCCCCAGGATCCATGTCCTTGGCTTGCTTCTCCTGTACCTCTCTCAAGGCGCTTCTCACACACCACCATGGGTGACAGCTATTTCTATACCTGCCCCTCCTCTGCCTCTTACAGCAAGTTTTCCAAGGTCCTGTTTTACTCTCTCCCCCAACTTGGGAAAGACGCAGAGTTGGGATGACCCAGTGTTGTGGTAAATAACTAACATGCCACATGAGAGGGGCAAGATCCAAAAGCTAGATCAAAGGGCCACATCTAAAGGACAGACCTACCAGAAGTCACTGTAAAGTCCAGCCCTTAGTATTCAATCATGGATCAATCATCTGTGTAAAGGATGGGGCAATCTGATTTGATGAAGGCTCCTAAGGAAAAATGCCTGAGTGCTTTAGTTTTCAAATGCTTAGAGCAACTAGTATGTGGTAGGCACAGTTCTAGGAGCTGGGGACAGAGCAGTAAACTAAAGAGAAAAAGCCCATGCTCTGATCAGCTAATGTGCAGTGAGCCAACAGTGAGACCTGTCCCAAGGTTGCATTAATAGAAGTATAGTGGGTAGAATACAGGAGGTGGAGGCCTCTGCCCTGACCAGATTACAGCTGAAATGATGCATCCACCTTTGGTCACTGCCCATTAAGCAAGACCGTAGTGGTGCCCTGGGAATGAAGAGCAGGATATCATAGTGTGTGAGGAAAGGGTGGACCCTGGTTAGTATAAGAAGATGTGATAAGGAGGGAACTTGAGTTCTATCTTTATGTTTTAAGGATGGATAAACTCAGAGCTTTACTATTCTCATTATTTTAAATTCCTTTTTAAAATTTTTAACAAGAGCTGCTCTGACAGAAAGGTGAAGCCCAGCCCTGGTGCGGCCTCAATTATCTTTTGTATCTTTTTTTCTTCTTCTTCTTTTTTTTTTTTTTAGTAGAAGTACAGTTTGTGATTCAGCCAATGAGTACAGAAGGATATAAAAGTGTTTCAAATGGATGATTCATTTTTATCTGAGATGTTTTTGTCTACTTCCCCAAATATTAATGTGTCATAATTTATAAAAAGTCTGTAGAGGCAAAATATATTGCTGATATTATTTCCTGCAAAAATTACTGTGCTCTTTAAAAAATGAAGTCCTGGAAGTCAGCTAAGTTCAGATGATTGGTTTCTTAATTTTGATAGCATTTGGTCCTCACTGTTGGTTCAGAGACAGGTTTTAAGTCAAGATAACAATACTCAGCTTGAGTAACCACTGCGTGATCAGATGGTTCAAGGTTAATTGTTTAAAATTTGTATCAATTGGTCAAAAATTGGTAATGTATGAACATAGGAAGCTTCCAAAACTACCTGAGGATATACTGTGTCAATGCCCTGCCTGTGGTCCCTGTCCTCACTCAAAGGCAATTACCATAAAGTTTCTTGTGATACATTTCAAAAACATTTACAGTGTATATAAGAATATATGTGTATGTACCTATCTATGTATGCTTGTATATGTGACTGTTTACTTATGAACATAAATAGTAACATCAACAAAAACAATGACACCCTCTAGAACAATCAGGTTGTCTCAAAGGCAGTTTTCTGGCAGCGGCAGGAGGAGGAGGTAGAGAGGATTCCCCGGTGCCCCAGGGATGGCTCCAGTTCCCGGCTGGCTTGGGCTCTGGCCGTATGGAGCACCCCTCCCCAAGCATTCTTGACTGTGGCTCGCAGAGGCAGAGTGCAGGGCCCCAAGTCCATCATCATCCAATCTGTTCTCACCTTCCTATGGAAGAAGAAGTTTGTGACAGGAAAGAATTAGAAAGGCATTAATAATGATGATGGCGACCAATTTGAGTAGCTCTTTGTAACCCACTTAGGGATGTTCAGTGGCATAGCCTTCGTGGTGGGGAAAATCAAAAGTCCATGGACTTGTTGAGGCATCTCCAAGTAGAAACAGAAGAAAAATCTGGTAGTTTTGGAGCGATTCTCTGCCCACTGTTAGGGTCGTCTTGGGCTACATGGACCATAGCTCTGACTTGGAGAGTTGCCATCTGAAATAACGAGGCTGGTGAAGCACCTTGGTATTCTTGGCTCCATGGAAGCAGCTGCTGTGGCAGTGAGATGAGGCTGAATGGCAGACAGAGGGGGCATTTGTAGGTAGACAGCTTCCGGAGGCACCAGGGCCAGCTGCCCTGGGTTGCTGTCCCTGGGGAATCTGGAGCCTCCCTCTTGCTCCAGGAACCCTGAACTACAGCCACCAGGACTCTTCCTTTCTCACGTCTAAAAGTTCATTTATTCATTCATTCATTTACTCATCCATCCATCCATTCACTGATTTATTTAATGTGTTTATGGAAGGTCTACTCTGGGCTAAGCGCTCGCAGGTGCTGGGGTTTCAGAGGCAAACCACCCACACAGCCCTGCATTCACTGTCCTGACTGTGGTTGCTAATCCCACTCCCACCCCTGTTGTCCGTCCTTCCTGACAGGTAAGTCAGGGACACTTGGAGAACAGTGTGAGGAGTGCTGCGATGGGGAGATACTGAGTGCACAGAAGGTGAGGGGCCATCATCCACCTGGGGGTGGCCATGGCGACACTGCCAGGCTGCAAGCCAGGCCTGGGAAGCACTCCAGGCAGAGGGTACCAGAAGAGGCCCAGTGGAGGAAAAAGTCTGACCCCTTAAAGGAATGACAGGCCGTTAACCTGCCCAGGGTGTCAGCTGTGAGAGGCCGCGCAGAGAAAGTGCAAGGGAGAGTATGTGGGTCCTTGCAAGCCAGGAAACGGTATGGACCTGACCCTAGCCCATAGGGAGCCACTGAGGCTTTGTAGGGTGGGAGTGAGGGGGACTCGGTCTGGAGGTCATATGCTCTGACAGCTCTAGGTAAAAGCTGGCAGGTCTGCACTTTGTTTGCCTTCTGTGGGCTCCGCAGCAGAGCAGGCCACAGCTGCTGGAGGGAGGGCTGTCTGCTTGTCTGAAGTGACCCACAGCTCCTGCAGAGCCTGGTGCTGTGGGACAGAAGGCTCACACTCCAAGCCGGACCATGGCTGCCTCCACCTTGCAGAGCAGAGCCAAGCCCAGACCCACAGGGCAACCTCTGTGGGCACCGGCATGGAATTTTCCTCTCGGAGTTTGACCCAGTTCCTGGCTGTTATTCAGTCACTCTGGATGAGCCTGTGGAATTCCAGAAAGGTCAGACATCAGAGAAGAGTGTTAATATTACCAGGATCTCACTGCTTGAACAGCTCGAGGGCTTGGCTGAGCCACTTGTTCATCTCTAGGGATCCTTGTCCATTAGCCCCGTCCCTAGGGCCATGTTGCACCCTGGAGGCTGCTGCAAAGTGCAGGCACCTCTCCTGAAGGAAGGTCACCTGATATCCTAGCCAGTGACAGAGGCCTGCACCAACTCTGATACCACAGTGCCCAGAGACTGAGGAAACTGGGGAAACCCAAAGGGTTGGTTTCTACTTTTACAAAATGACCAGTTATGTTTCTTAAACTTAGAAAATTATACAGGAATCCGAGTAGGTTTCTATCTGTGCCTGACAGTTCTCAAGTCATTTATATTTGTGTGAGAACTTGCTTTTAGATGGTCATTACTTACCAGAGGATGTATAAAAGGCCAGCTCCTCCCCACGGTCCCTCTCGCCAAAGCTCTTATCTGTTCTCATTTTCTGGGTCATGTTATTGTTCCTAAACGGGCCTTATCTCTGCTAATAGGTTATCACTGCTTGAGAGTTGGAATCACATCACATTTATGAGCTGACACCCAACACCAAGCAAAAAGATTGAGGGAGGAAAGGAAGATCATAGGCCATGTTTGGGAAGCATCACATAATACTCCCTGGGGATGGAAGACAAATGCAGGTGTCATGGAGCAGCAAAGGCAGAGTTCAGCAGCTCAGCAGCACGGGCCATTCTTCCCGAGCACGCATCCTAGTGCTGGAGGTTGAGTCCTATTCCCTATTAGGTGATAGACTATTAATAAGAACAAGGAGGGTGATGATGATAATCAGCAGTTAACACATGCTTATACTATATGCCAGGCACCGTGCAAGTGCTTGAAAAGCCTCATCTCATTTAGTCCCTCCAACATTCTTATCAGGTTGATTCTATCATTACTCCCCTCTTACAGTCGGGAAAAATGAGTTCCAGAGAGTTTGCCATTGGCCCAAGTGACAAACTGTGCCTCAACCTCAATGGCAAAGCTGTGCCTCAACTCCACGTCTGCAGAGTCTTAAGCACAGTTCGAGTTCCGTTCTCTGCCACTTTGGGGATGTCCTGTGAAGCCCCTGCTACAGTGATTGGGCATGGCTGGGTGCTCTACTTAGGGCTTCTAGATTCTGGAGGGGAGAGAGAGAGAGAGAGAGAGAGAGAGAGAGAGAGAGAGAGAGAGACAGTGTGTGTATGCATATGAGAGAAGAAGAGAGAGAGAGGGGGAGAGAGGGCAATTTAAAAAGCATATGTAGGTGTTTGCCTGGCCCAAGAGCTTACCTATAGTATTTAGTGCATGTGTATCAGGGTCTGGCAGGAAAAGCACCATCAGGCATGACACGGGTCAGGGCAGGGCATGACTGGGACTTCCCTTTGTGGTCTCTGCCTACACAGGTCCTTTGGGCTGTGGCTGGGAACGGGGCCTGGGCAGGCAGCACCACGAGCTGTTCTCTGCCCCTCCTTAGTGGCCCTGCAGAGGTGTGGCTCAGTCCCCTGCAATAACTGGGCCCCTGTGCAAAGGTGTTTTTCAGAGGCATCACTGTGAACGCGGTGCGGGGCTTCCCCATGAGCGCGGCCATGTTCCTTGGGTACGAGCTGTCGCTGCAGGCTATCCGCGGGGACCACGCAGTGACGAGTCCATGAGCGCCAGGTCAGTGTGCTTCCATCCCAGCTAATTGTACCTCCCAGGAACTTGAAACTCTTTTTTTTTTTTTTGGTCATGAGAATGTTGTGGCCTTCTGAAATGTCCTGTGGTTTATCACATATCTTATCTGTGGTAAGCTGGGGCTAGAGCTGCCACCCTTCTTGTCATCAAACAGCAGTTGGGAAATGCCCACCAGTGACTGGTGGTGTGCTGGGTCCCCAGGGACCGAGTCTGGCACAGAGTATACCTGTTTCCAGGCAGTTCGCCTCTCCATTTTCCCATCCAGTAGCTTCAACAGCCCTTGCAGAGAAGCACTTTTACCTTCACCGTGCAGACGCAATGACCCAGGCTCACAAGTGAGGACTGCAACCAGGATACCTGCAGGGGGGCACCGTCTCCCCACCTCCCTACTGAACTGCAGGGCCTGACTTGAGAGCCACCCACAGGCTCCCAGAGCCCTAGAGGACAGGTCTCTGCCACCATTCTTTGCCTCCCATACCCTCTTTTTCTTTCTCATTGCAGAAAGATCACTGTAGCCTGAGGACTCTTCTAAAGACAGAAATCTGACTCCCATGCTCACATGCCCTCCTTGGCTCCCCATTGCCCTCTAGATAAAGCCCTCACCCTGCTTCTGCTGGCCTCACCCTTCACCACTGTTCTGAATGTTCCGCCCTCTCTCTCGCCCCTAGGTCTTTGCTCAGGCTGTCCCCTCTGCCTGACATCCTCTTCTCGCTCCTTTCCCACTTGTCCTTGGCTTCACCAGCTCTTTGTCATCCAGGCTGTAGAAGTCTCCTCCTTCCGGATTGCCGGCTTGCTTTCTCAGCTGGGGTGAGTCGCGCCTTCTGCAGACCATCCCCCACCCCCACCCACACTGCATCCTAAATGCCAGAGGACGCCCTCACTCCCCAGGCGGGGCTGCCGTGCTGTCCCTAAGTTTGCACTAATGGTGCCTGGCACAGAGCCCGGCACACAAAGGACCACTCAGCAGTGTCGTCGGATGGGTGGATGACCAACCCCCATATTCCCTCAGGCCTCCTCTTCCTCCCTGAGCTTTTTCTTCCTCATTGTCTGGCCCCACACTGGCTACCTGCAAAGCTCAGAAGACAAAGTGGGTGTGGACTGAACTTTCTAGTCAACTAAGAAGCCATTTGACATGAGTCTTGGTTAGCACAAATTCTCCTAGGAAGGATGATCTTTGTCTATAAAACCTCACTGCTGCCTCCCCGTGTGAGCTGGCAGGGGTGTTCTCGGGACGGCAGAGCCCTGCTGGGATGCACGGGTGGTGCCAGAACCTGGACAAAGGGAGGGGGCCTGACCAACCAGGCTGACTGTAGTTAGCCCAGGACAAGCCCCAGAAGCTGGCTTCAAATAAAATGCTCTCCACTTTTTGCTAAAGCAGCAACATTCACTGCTTTTCTGGCTATTTGCCCTTTCTTATAAAAGGAAAAGGGTAGCAACACAGTTTGCATAATTCAACATCTTGAGTGAAGAGTTACAGCATTTGGGTGGCCTCCAGGACAGGGAAGGAGTTTGTCTTCTTCTTAAAGCTGTGCTCGGATATTGGCCATTTCCCCCTTTTCTCTCTTTAAGAGAAAAGTAATTTCTTAAACATCCTATAATAAAAGTCATGCATTTTTATTGTAGAAAAAATAGAAAATTTAAATAAACAGAAAGAACAAAATAGTAAGACCTGTCATCACAAGACCTTGTTATTATTCTTCCAGATTTGTCTTCTGTGTATTTTCAAATTGGGATCCTACTCTACACAGTGTTTTACAGCCCTCTTTTCCCATTCAGTAGTTTGGGACCATCTTCCCATGTCATGAAATCTTCAGCTACAAGATGGTTTTAACGCCAAGACCTCCTAGATCCCAGAGTGGCCGGATGCCTGCCCAACCTGTCGTACCTGCCACTGCGACCACCCTCGTGATTAACTGCTTCAGTACAAAGAAGGAACTTTCTAGCAACCCAATCACGATTGTCCTGCATTTAGCCTTTCACAAGCAGTGACCAACGCAATTGGAAGCTTTTCTTTCTGAAAGCGCTCTTTCTTGCAAGGGGCATGGACGTCTGTCTCCCTCAACAGGGAGGACTGCTAAGGCAGGGAGGAGTTTGTTGCCTCCTGGTGGGAGAGTGAGGTTCCCAGCCACCGGTCTGCAGATTCATCTTAAACAAGTCTTGCCCATGGCATTCAACTTCCTGTTCTAACCCCAAAACACCAAGGCCTGTTAACAAGACTGGATTTTAATTTACCAAGTAGCTCTGAGATTTGGGGCAGGCCATGCTCAGATAGCAGTCACACCCACTCTTTGACTGCCTCCCTCATTGTCTAGACCCAGGACAGAGTGAGATGACGTATATTAGAGATCTAGGGAGTCAAGCCGTCCCTAAGAAGTGGCGGGATGGGGACCATCTCGAGAGTTCCTGGGTACAGATGACAGGGATGACTTGAGAATTGTTTCTAAGAGCCTGCAGGGGATAGATCACCCAGCTCCCAGCAGCTGCCAGGTGCCTTCCAGCAACCAGGCACAGAGATCTCCCCCAGCGTCCCCAAGTCCCATGCGGGAAGATCAGTGACCTTTGGTGGTAGAAGTGGCATCCCGCCCACTCATCAGTGGCTGGTTCTCAAACTTGTCTGTGGCTCATGAATCCAACTCTGCCATCCACCTGTCCAAGACCAACCTCCAGAGCTTCCTGGAATAATGCTGGTCTGCCCTCTGTCCTGACACGCATGCTCCACTGGAATAATGCTGGTCTGCCCTCTGTCCTGACACGCATGCTCCACTGGAATAATGCTGGTCTGCTCTGCCCTCTGTCCTGACACGCATGCTCCACTGGAATAATGCTGGTCTGCCCTCTGTCCTGACACGCATGCTCCACTGGAATAATGCTGGTCTGCCCTCTGTCCTGACACGCATGCTCCACTGGAATAATGCTGGTCTGCCCTCTGTCCTGACACGCATGCTCCACTGGAATAATGCTGGTCTGCCCTCTGTCCTGACACGCATGCTCCAGATCTCAGTAGCCTACTTGCAGTTTCAGGAAAACTGATTTTCAAGGAAAGAAGACATAGTCCTCTTATGATACCTTTTTTGAACATTTACAAATAGCCCTGGTAACCCTGAGAGCCTCTGCCACTCCGTACTTTGCCTCTTGGTGCTTCACAAACCCAGTCTCCAAATGGGTTGTTTGACCCCAAGATCCAAGATTTCAAGACTCCTGTTAGATGATGTTCTTGTCTCTCCTCCTTTTTCCCAGGGCCTCATCCCATTAACAGGTCAATGCTAACAGTGTCTGCAGAACCCATGGTGTGAATTTACTGAAGAGAAAGAAAGACTCTCCGCCAGGTGGGCTTTCAGCCAAGCAGGCTGTCCTCAGAACCCCTTCCTTCCTTCACAATTGCAAGCATTCTGATCCCCACCCCAGCTGGGGCAGCGGAGCTCCTGCCTTGGAGGGATTCAACTGACCATTGGTCAACTGATCACCAACTATTTCAGCTTTGGACTTGCACCTGGTAACAAAAAAACGAACAGAACAAAACAAAACTGGAGTAAAATAGATCCTCCCCCCATGGCCATTGTAAAGTCACTGTGAATTCATGGAAGAGGTGGAGTTGGCTCTAAGTTTCAAAATAAAAGCATTAAAAACTTCTTCACATTGTTTCTCTGTCAGATGCCCCTGCCTGGCTTCCAAGAGGCTCCTGGCCACTGTCATTCCTCTCGCTCTGTTCAGGCCTCTGTGGATGTTGCAGGCCCAGAGGGAAACCCCCCTCCACACAGGTGAGGCGAGAAACTGAGCAGGGGCAGCCTGGCTTCTTTTTTCCCAGATGCCTCAGGTCGGCAGGGAGGGCATAGCCGTTGAAAAGGGTGATGAGGGACAGAAACCTTCTAGGGGTTCTCCCACCCTGAGCAGTGGCACACGTTGGTGACTTGCTTCAGGCAGGCTGGCCCTGGGCTTGGTTGGGGTGGGCACTCTCTGGGCCTTATTTTTACGTGGAGAACAAAACAAAACAAAACAAAATACTTGATCCACAGTCTGGTTTCCAGAGTGACTTCATTGTTCTAAATTTTATTCCTTACTAGAGCTGCATGGGGAGGCCATTGCTATTTTGCTGTTATGTGGCTTGTGTCCCTGCAGCCTCTCCCAATTCTGTGCCCACAACAAGCATTCCTAGTCAATCATAGAGCCCTTTCTTGATGAGCCGAGTGGCGCCTCAGAGTCTTTCTCAGCACAGTGCCCCGGCAGCCACCACCAGCTGCGCAGAACTGCCATACGAAATGAATCTATTTGCCATCCCTGGCTTACATCCCAGTGAAGGAAATGTCCTCAAATTTGTTCTTTTTTTCTTTCCCTTGAAAAGGTCTTCCTTGGTTTCTCCACTACCCTGTTCCCCCACCACCCCCTGCCTTTGAGTGATTTGGGCCATGACTCGGAAAAATCTCTGCCTTACTAGACCTAAGACCAAAGCAATGCTATGGTGCAAAAGAGTTGAAAGTGTTCTGTCTCTTCGGTGTGAAACCTGTTACTGGAGCGGAGGGTTCCCTGCTTGAAATAAAACCCTCAGCATGCCCTCCTCAATCTTTCTCCTTCACAGCCCCTGGGACTGCAGGGTCCCCTGGGGATCTCTGCAGGTTACAGTTCAAGCTGCCCACCCTCCTGCAGTGGGACATTCATTCATTTGTTCAGTCATCAAACATTTGCCGAGCAGATGCTGACCTCGGTGCTGGGGACAGCCACGAGGGACTTCAGTGGCACGTCATTCTGGTGCAGTGGAGAGGCTCTACTGATAGGAAGAGACCAGCCTGCCTGTCTGCTCCAGCATCACTGGGCCTGGGCGGGCATGGAGGATGTGAGTGAAGAGATGCTTCTGGCACCTGGTTCATCCCTGGGTAGGCTTAAAGTCTCTGCTCTAACACATCCTAGAATGTGTTTCTTAAGTCTGCCTCAACTGGACCATTTCCTGGTGCTAGGTATGCTTGCACAGTTTGATTAGAAGTGGTGCTGTGTCCACAAGGCCAACTAGGGTCTTCTACTGGGTGCTCCTGATGAAGCTGAGATGCAGCAACCACCTTCTTCAGGTGTCTGAGCCTTTCCTAGTTTCTATTAATCATCATGGCACCTCTTGATTGTAGGAGGAGACAAGCAGAGAGAAGCATTGCTGATCCAGTTTACAGATGAAAAAACTGAGGCTCCAACATACCTGAGCCCCAGTTCAGGACTTTACCGCCAATCCCATTTGATAATCTTCCTGAGGCTACACTCCCCTGCTGTCCAACCCAGGGAACATCACCAGCAGCCACGATGATGGCTATTTTGAGGTGTAAAAAAGGACAAAGTTGTTGGGACACATAAGTATGGAGTCTGAAACTGCTAATGAAGGCCTCCCATCAACCACATCAGAACTGCCCTTCTGGACTCACCTCCCATTGCTCTGGTCCAGGTTCCCTGTGCTCCCATCATTTCCCCCATCCCATCCAGTGCCAGGCATATAATGGGCGTTTAAATGTTGCTTAAAGAGTTCCCAAGTGATCCAACAAGCCTGCTGGGCCAGCTGCTTGTCTGCCCAGCACCCTCCAGACTTCCCTGCCTCTGTGCTTTTCTTTAACCTATAGGACACTCTTATCCCCAGCATCACCAGGAACAGGAATGCTCCCTGTTTTCAACCCAGCTCAGGTGCTTTAAGCCTTTAGAGGTTAGGGCTTCCTTGATTCTCTCTCTCTCTCCCCTAGCAGCATCCATGGCTCTTCCACCGACATGACCCCTCTGGCACTGTGTCCCTCCCTGTGCTACAGTCATGCCTGTGCACCCTCTGTTTCTCACTGGCCTGTGCCCATCTTCAGAGCCAGGGCTGAGTCTTCCCAATCCTTAGATTCAGCATAGCAGCAAGAATGAGCAGGGTTTAGAATAAAGGAAGCATAAATTAATGGGCAAAAATGCAAGCATGACCATGTTAACTGAGAATTGTTTGTAATAATGAAAATTGAGAAACTTTCCAAATGCCTGTCAATAGAAGAGGGGGTTAAACAAACAGCCACTAAAAAGAATGAGGTAGATCTTACATATATTGTCATGGAAATAGGTCAGCAACATTTTAAGTGCAGAAATGGAGGGGCAGAATAACATATATGATGTTATTCATTTTCATTTTAAAATGCATATCATATATGGGTAATTACATGGGCATTGAAAAATCCTTGAAGGGTACACACCAAATTTAATAGTGGCTATTTCTGGGATATGGGATTGGGAGAAGGCTTTCAGTTCCTACTTTGATGATGGTGATTTCTTTGTATATCACTATAATGATGGTGATTTGATGATGGTGATTACTGTAATGTTTTAATTTTTTTACAGCAAGCATATATTGTTTTTATAATATCTTAAAATAAAAGCACATCTTATTGCAGAGCTAGGGCTCCCTGCTGGGCACTTGTTTTTCAGGCTGCGGGCTGGCTCTGCCTCGCTGCCCAGCCTCAGCCCGGCTCTGAGTAACAGCCCCTCCCCTCCCTGCCCTCCTGCATGCTGGGCAGACACTGCCTCAGCACATCTTCTACACCCTCACTCTCACCCAGGAGCACCTGGGCTGCAATGAATTAAACTTGGCTTTAATGAAGAAACTCGGCTCCAACCCAAACAAACCTCTTGTGGTAGCCAGATCTGGGAGGCGTCAGCCAGCAACGGATCTACTTCCTCTTAGATTTTTCTGGAGAGGGCAATCTTGTGGAATAGTTGGGGCCAACAGCTTGTGAGTTTTCCTCCATCAACACATTATGCTTCTATTTAACCAAATATATGTGTGTGTGTGTGTGTGTGTGTGTGTGTGTGTGTGTGTGTGTGTGTGTGAGAGAGAGAGAGAGAGAGAGAGAGAGAGCGAGAGCGTGTAGTCTGTTCCCAGTGCTGTTACAGGCATTGGGTGACAATGGCAGGGACTCTGCCCTCAGAGAGCTTAGTACCAGGCATTAATTTCTGTGTCATGGTCAGGAAAGTCTTTAAACAAATGGAATCCTATTTTTAAGAAGGATGAAAACAAAACAGAATTCCAAGCCAAGCACCAGCTTTGGTGTCTGTGTCCTGGAGTTGGGGGGCTTCAAGGTTGGCCAATTTGCCTTACTAGGAACGATGAAAAGAAGAAAAAAAAACATTACCATTCAGCAGCCCCTTTCACTTCTGAAAATTATTAAGGGCCTCAAAGAACGTCTGCTTATATATTTACCAACATTTACTGGAAATTCAAACAATTTCAAAAATATTTATCCATTTAGGTATAATAATAAACCCATGACATTTTAACATAAATAACATTCTATGAAAATAATGATTCTTTCTAAACCAATGTAACTAACGAGAAGACTTGTGTTGTGTTCCCTTTTTGCAGCTAAGTCTGGCTTAAACAGAGAGCAATTGTGTTCCCCTGTCTCCTTTTGCTTTTAGTCAATGGGTTATCACTTGCAATATAGCCTTTGGGAAACTCCATTGTACACTTGTGAGAAATAAGATTGAAAAGAGCAGATAACATCTTAGTATTCTATGCAGATAACATCTTAGTGTTCTATGAAAGTAGTTTTGACCTGTTTACACATATATTATGTATATATCCCTCACCCAAAGGCTGATACTCTCAGAACGGCCGCTTGGTGGCAGCAAAGGTCAACTAAACCCTCTGCAGGAGTCCACGTCTGGGAGTGCACCACCTTGGCCCTGTGGTGAGAGCACCTGGACTCCGTGACACTTCTCTTCCTGTTTCCTGGGCATCACCATCTCCCTTGGTGTTGCCCTTTCCCTTCTCTGTGGTGGAAAGAACTTCACACTAGGGAGACCTTCCCCTTGGGTTCCAATTTCACGTGGGCCATCGGCTACCTGTGTGCTCTTGCAGGCATCCGTGCCCCCTGAGCCATCTGTAAAATGGCCACACTGGTCTCCCTTACCTCCTTTGCACGGCTTCCATAACAATGAAGTGCAAAAGTGTTTTTGTAAACTGTAAAGTGCAAAACATAGGGTTTGGAGGAAGGGGGGGCGTGGTGTGATTTTTCTGGTTTCTGTTCTTTGCCTGCCTTCTCTGAATCTAGGTTGTTTGCTTTTTCCAGGAGGTAAACACAGGGTGACTAGTGTTCCCTGGGCCTCATCTCTGCATGTGAAGCCCTGAGAGCTGCAGATGTTTGGCCTTTGGACCTCCAAGTGGACATCAATCAGCAAGCGTGGGCCAGGATGGTGCAGACACTGACGTGGCCCTTCTGATGCCTGGGATGCCTCATGAGTCACTGGTTCAAGCCCTCCAAGGTCTGATCCCCAATGCCCACTCTGCTAGGCTGGCATCAAAGAGGTTTCCAAGAAATGTTTGGTCCAGAGAAGTCCAGACCATGAGCACCAGGGAGCCAGAAACCATCCAGTGAAACCGTCCATCCTCGCTCCTCTGGCTGAGGATGGGGAGGGGCCAGTGAGCTCTGGGCTCAGCCACTCCCTCCAGTCTCAAGTACCACGCCCCCGTGCCTCCCTTTCCTCTCAGCACCGACCAGGTTTCTCCCGGCTCCTGTGCACCGGTGGATCCCGAGGACAGCAGTAGCGCCTTCCTCAGCCGCACACTGAGTCCAGCGCGTGCTCCTCACTGCGCACTTATTAGTGTCTGTTGAGTGATTCAATCACATCCTCAGGTCTGCAGCAAACAAATGAAGGTTTCTTTATTTTTTGTTAACTAAATTGAGATTTTTTTTTCAAGTTGATGACAGAAAAAAATAATTTTGCCATTTCAGGGTAAAACTTCGAAATTCCAAGTTAAATGCCCAGTTCAAGATTTTTTCCTTCTCCACCTTCCCCTGGGGTTGACTTTAGATCTGGGAGGCTTGGGATTTAGGGAGAGGCTTCAGGGTTCTGGGAGGTGCTCTGTCTGTCCTACCCTGGTGTTCCTCCCGGCTAGTCCTGGGCGTGGCTTTCCCTCCAGGGTGGCTTCTGTAGAAGCATCTTCAGTCCCATTTGGTCCCTGTCCTTGGTCTGAGCATGCCATATATGCCCATCCCAAGGTCTCTCCGGCCTTACCATCCTCCAAGACACATCAGTGCCCCTCTCTGCCCTGGGTGAAAATCTTTGGTTTCTCCGTTGAAACTATTCAGGGGGCTGCATCAAGCCCAGCTTCCTAGGGCCTGTGGGTGGTCCTCCCTATACCAAACCTTAGGTGTGGTGGCGAGAGGCATTCTCTTTTCATGTCATCTCCCAGGGCACTCAGGGAATATGGCTCATGTGCCCTTTACTCTCGGTTTTCTACACGCCTCCCTCGCCCTCCCCAGGAGTGCTGCCCTCTTCCCCGAGGCTCTGCTGGGGGCCAGGCAGAGAGCTCTTCTCCAGGGAACTCAACAGCGTCTGCCATCATCCTCTCCTCTCTGACTTCTCTTCCATAGTCCAAGGAGTTACTTTCTATCCCAGGGCTAGGAGAGTTACCATTGGAAATTCTAAAGCCAAGAATTAACCTCTGTATCAATAACCTCTATACCAATAAGTGCAGAAAATACATTTGACATAGTCCAATCTCATTCAAGATAAAAGTGTTCAACAGACAAGAATAAAAGAATTTTCTCAGTCTGATAATAAACATTTATGAAAAGTCCACAGCTCACATCATATTAATATTTAATCGTGAGCGACTGGATCCTTTCCCGCTAAAATCAGGAACAAAGCAAGAATATCTACTCTCATCACTTCTATTCAACATTGTATTGGAGGTTCTAGCCAGAAATTAGCCAAGAAAATGAAAGAAAAGGCATCCAAATTGGAAAAATGGAAGTAAATTACCTCTATTTACAGATAATATGATACAGTATAAAGAGGGATGGTTGCACAACCCTGCCAATGTACTAAAATCTATTGAATTATACTCTTCAAATGGATGAATTGTATTGCATATGGTATATGAAGCATATCTCAATGAAGCCATCTGTTTGTTGTTGTTGTTGTTTGTTTGTTTGTTTTTAAGATAGGATCTTGCTCTGTCACCCAGGCTGGAGTGTAGCAGTGCAGTCATGGCTCACTGCACACTCGACCTCCTAGGCTCAAGCGATCCTCCCATCTCAGACTCCAAGTAGCTGGGACTACAGTTGCACATCACCATAGCCAACTAAGTTTTGTATTTTTCGTAGAGATTGGCTTTCACCATATTGACCAGGCAGATCTCAAATTCCTGGACTCAAGTGATCTGCCTGCGTCAGCCTCCCAAAGTGCCAGGATTTTAGGCATGAGCCACTGTGCCTGGCTAAAGCCATCTTTTTCAAGTGATAAAAATAAAGAATGAAGCCCTTTGGGTCCTCTTTGAGTTTCTGCTGAGGCCTCCCCTTGCAGAGAACGGGGAGTCTTGGTCTGGGGTCGATGAAGCAGGGTGACAATGTGACAATGAGAGGAGAGGAACTGTGAGGTTGAAACATCACAGCGTCTTCCTGCTTCAAACTGGATGGATGTACAGAGGGAGGGATGGATGGATAGATGGGCAAGCCAGCTTTATGGCTGGCCACATCTTGGCTTGGCTTTGGCCTGCAGTGTGTCCTTTGATCTGGAATCTACTGGAAACAACTCTGCCTGGGGCCTGGCAACCTGGAGAGGGTAGCAACTTCAGCACTTGCGAGCAACGTGCTTCTGGCCAAGTTATGCAACCTTGTTGGGCCTACTTATCTCATTTGTGCAGTGGGAAAAATTACATACAACAATTATATAAATATCTCATGGGGTTCTTGTGAGGATCCAACAGATATTCTACAAAATAGGCTTAGCAGAGTGCCTGGTACAGAGTGAACAATAAATGTTAGTTCTCCTTTCTCCAGGGTGACTTCTTGATGAATCTCAATTCTCCTGGCACAGAGAAGGTGATAATTATTGCACACTTCACTGTAAGTAAACCCTCCTTGGAGCTTGCCTGCAGGAGGGAACACTGCAGGTTATGTGACTTTTGCAGAAAAGCTGAGGGAAAGCACCAAGCTATGCTGGTGATTAATCTGCATCGGTGAGTGTAAGCTCGTCTCTGCCCATCTCCGGCAACATGTTGCATTTCCGAGTTGTGTTCTGAAACCATCACCAACCATCAGCATCTGTCCCTGCTGTGATCCTGCTTGGGCTGGTGTCTCCCCATGCTGCAGGTGGTAAACCACAGTGTCACATGATTCAACTATGTCTGGGGCCAGTCATTCAGAAAACCCACATGGAGGAGAGGAGAAGAGAAGGTGTTGCAGCTGCGATCTGGAACTCCATGCAGCAGGCTGTCCAGGAAGCTGCAGAAACCTCTATCCCTCCTGGAGCCACCCAGCCCAGCCCCAGATAAAATGTCTTGGAGAGAGTGCCCCCCACCGCCTCCCTGGGTAAGTAGGGCATGAGCTAGAGAAAGGCTGTTTTGTTAATGCAGCTTACCAATTTCTTATCATTATTCTGAAATCCAAACAACTGTGAAAACTCAAGATTTGTTAGGACTTATTTGGCTGCAAAACTTGACCATTTCAGTGACTGCTGCGGGATTGATAGGTTTAATTACGGAACCTTGCCCCAGGCACTGCTGTGGGTGTTATGTAATATATGGCACATGGATTGTTTTAACTTTCTAAAAGGCTAAAAAGCTTGAATTCTGAAACCTATCTGACTCCCTAGGTTTCTGGATATGAGGGTGTGGACTGCAATTATGATGGGTCTGTTTTACCCTCAGGCTGTGGTTGGAAGAAGCACAGTGTACACCCTTATGCCCTTGGTATAAAGAGAATAATAAAGGGGCAGAATGCAAACAGCAAAGGGTTTGGAAGCAGAGACTAGGGGTGAATCCTTCTTCTAAATCTCACCACCTGTGGGATCTTGGGAAAGCCATCGAGACTTTCTAAGCTTTGGTTTCAGCATATATAGAACAAAAACATGTAATAATAGTATCCACTTCCTACCATAACTAGGGGGTTAAGCAGTTAATTATTAAGCATTTATTCTGCATGCCCACATTCTTGAGCAGTCTCCCACTTCCAAACTGCTGCCTTCTCCTATTTCAGGCACACGGCCAATTTCTCAGGACCGTAGCCCTCTTAGCAGTGCTCCAGGGCTCCCTCCCTCAGACATGCCTTCAGCCTCCCCTAGCGGCAACCCTCAGACAGTCCCCACAGACATTCTTTGTAACTGCTCCCTGCAGCCTCCCCTGCAGCCCCAGCTACAGCCTCTGAGTCTGAGGGTCTGTATTCAGCATCAGGAGTCTTATCACTATAGGAGTCTCTGATCTATTCTTCCCCTTAACAACACTTGTAGCTTTCTTTGTTCTGAGCAGCAAGAGATGAGTAATTGCCTAGAGACCAGCTCCTGTCATTTTCCCCCCATATGTATTTATTTCAAAATAAAGACATACAATTTTAAACACATAATCACAACTGATATTGATTTAGAGTAGCTTACTTGATTTTTTAATTGTAGCAACTTAAAGAGAAAGCATTTTAAATTTAATAAATAGGATAAATAATATTTCATCTTCATATTTTGCCTCCCATCCCTCTCATCTTTTCTTTCTGGAAAACTTCCAGGAGACTCTTCAGAAATGTCAGCGTGTTGCCTGCCATGGTTTGGTTGCATGGCTGTTCACAGGAAAAATTCTGTGGGGATGAAAGTTGATAAGGACAGAGAGACTCAAATGATGTAGAGCCAGGCAGCCCCAGGAGCCCCCCTGCCAAGAGCCAGAGTCGGTGGTGAGGAGTGTCGGGATGGGAAGGGAAGGGGCTTGAAACCCAGAGCAAATAGATGGGCAGGTCCAGGCTAGCTCACGTGGTGTAAAGACAACATACGTGGTTGACCTCAAGTTGGATTTCAGGGCTCTTTACACACAGACACACACACACACACGCCCCCCTATTAAGTGACCCTAAATCTCCCCATTAGAGAAAGCCTTTCTGGGGACTCTTTGAGGCCTAACATTGTATCATTATCCTTTTAGGTTGTGTTTCCAAGGTCATTTGACAGTACAGTGGCTAAGAGTGGGGCTCTGAGGTCACACAGACCTGAGTTCAAATCTCACCTCTGCCACTTATTAAATATGCAGCCTTAGGCAAATTAGTTAACCTCACTGAGACTGATAAATTGAATAATTGTCCCTAAGGTATGTATTTATTCAGTGAGACAGCATATATTAAGCACTTAGAACTAGATGCCATTGATGGTAGAAATGCATGCAGTTAAACAGTTGAGCTCAGGGCTTTCAGACTTCTAGGATCTTATGTGGAGATGCTAATACCCAAAAAAGGGAGGGAGGTCACCTCTACCCAACTTGCCATCCCACTCTGCTGTCAGGGACTAGGGTATACGCTGAAGAAAGGAATGTGTGGATGGGCATTCAGGATGAGTGGCAAGCTTCCACCTTGACCTGGGTGCATTGCCCTTTAAATACCTCCTTAATCCAGGCCAGGCATGGTGGCTCACACCTATAATCCCAGCACTGTGGGAGGTCAGGGTGAGCAAATCACTTGAGTTCAGGAGCTGGAGAGCAGCCTGGCCAACATGGTGAAACCCCATCTCTACTAAAAATACAAAAATTAGCCGGGTGTGGTGGCACGCACCTGTAATCCCAGTTATTTAGGAGGCTGAGACAGGAGAATCACTTGAACCCAGGAGGCAGAGGCTGCAGTGAACTCAGATGGCACCACTGCACTCCAGCCTGGGCAACAGAGCGAGACTCTGTCTCCAAAACAAAACAAAACAAAACAAAACAAAACAAAACCTCCTTAACCAACAGGAAAAAAAAAATCCCTTTTAACGACATCCATTCAGTTAGTACATTGAATCTCTAGAATAATTTCATATTATGTGAGCTGCATCCCTGATTCTCTAGATTGTGGCTTCTAATTACACTCAGAAAGCATTCTTTCATTATTCCATAATAGAGAGAAGTAAATGGCTCCGTTGGCGTGTTTTTTAAAACTAGGGGGAACAATGATCTATCTCACTTTAATTCTATTGTTTCAATGGATCTCACTTTAATTATATTACTTCTGATTAAATTTCTTAGATGTCTTTTATCAGCCTTGAAGTATCAATTCCAACTTTATCATCCTTTTGCGTTCAAACAGGGTTGGCATCACCATTCACATAGAAATCACCGACAGGAACACATCACATATGAAAACAAACTTACGGGACACTTGTTGTTCTTTAGTACTTCAACCGATTTTTTCACCCGATTGAAAATCAGTGGGTATCTTGTTTGCACTGTGGTATTGGTCATCTGAGACAGTCCCTCCCTGAAGCATGGTCCAGGGCAGTTGTCCTGGTAAATAGTAAGGATTTATTAAAAGAAACATTCTGAGGACAGCTTTGAAAATATATCACAAAAAGCAATATAAGAGATGGTTTTTATTTAATCACCGTTACTCAAACTTGCATTATTTTTAGATAGGTCCCTTGCCAATGTAGGAAGTGATCTTCCATATTTAAAGGGGATTCCATTTTTCCACAGTGACACCCCCTGGAGGAGACTTCCTGTATGTTACACCCAGGAAACATGAGGGCTGTGGGCCCTGAAATAGTCAGCTCTGAATGTTCTTTTCAAGAGGTGCTTCCCGGCTTCAAGACTTGTAAGTTTGAAAGTGCAGAGTGAGGAAAAGCCTTTCCACACCAGCTAATGGGATGTGACAATTGAATGCAGCTGGTATTTCAGCAGCAGCTAAAAACACGGAGTGTACGCCGAGGGGCAGGGGCTGTGCTGTCTGCCTGGTGCCTGCCCAGAAGGCGCTCTAGCCTCTTCTCCTCTAATGGATGGATGGCGATGGGTGCGATGTCTTACCCTCGCTAGGGCAAGAAGCTCAGATTCTCCCAGGCCTTGCATGAGAAAGAATAAAGCACTGCACCTTGGAGAAGTGCCTCCTCCTCACCCTAACCAGGAGTTTGAATTAGGAATGAGAACTTTCCTGCCACCCGTCCTTCCTGCCAGAGTGGGCAGTGGCCCTCTGGAAGCCCTCCTTCCACTCAAAACCTCAGATCCTCTATCTGCCCAGAGGGCAGCACTCAAACCAACAGTCACTCTAATCAGCTAGACAGACAATAGGGAGGTAGGGAGGAAGGGAGGAGGCAGGGAGAGGGAGGTATAGCCCGTAGATCATTCATGCCAGATGAATGATAAGGAGTAGTCTTTTTATTTACATTGTTTCACAACTCTAGAGTTATCACTAAATGAGGTAGAAAGCAATATGATATGACCTATAGCAATGATTATATCCTTAGTTCCAGTTTTATTTAATTGTGCACATGGCCACCTATCTAAAAAGATATTCAAGATTCTTTTTTTAATGTTGAAAAGTGTTCAAACTTCTCAAGAGGCATAAAGTTAACTAAATACAAAGAAATGTTCATAATATAGGATTTCAAGATCCTAGTTTTAAAAGGGAATAGTTTGTAACAATGTGGTTTTAACAGGGAATACTAATCTTAACAATTGAATTAAGCAACAATGTATAACATTAAATATTAAATAAAGCAACTTATTTTTACTTAAAATCAAACCAAAAAAATCCAAGGTCAAAATTATATTCTCTCATTATACTTACAGAAGGAATGGGCAGACAGAGACAACTGGTCACCTGCAAGGGAAATTTCAGAGTGAAGATTCCAGATGTGAAAATTAAAATTAATTTGGAAAGTTCTTAAAGAGCATTCACTCACATTAGCACTGCAGTGGCACTTCGAAGCTGCATCTTCCTAAAGTAGATAGAGAGATAAGAACCTTTAGTCAGCCCCGAGTTTTTTCATCCTCATACATATTTCACTTTGTCAGTAGCCGTCTTTCCCACGGGCGCCCCCTGCAGCCTACCTGCATCTTGCTGATGAGGAAGTTGATGTCCATGACGATCCCCGTGGAGGTTGGACACCCCCGGCCTGCCACGGAGCACAGGAGCAGGGCAGAGGTAAGGACTGTGGCCAGAAGCATCTTGACAGAGGACTGGAGCTCGCCTGAAGACACCTTCAAATCGAGTGGTATTTAAAGCTCCCTCTCAAACATGGAAAAACCCTGACATCAAACTGATACCAAAAGCCCACTTTTTCTCTGTAAGTTGGGGCCACTTTATATTAACAAACAAAAAAATCAAACTGAGTCACTTGACAAAGATGATGTTGTGCCAGGAAATATCATTCCTCAGAAAAGATGATTTTCAAAAAGTTGAGTACTGAAGTGCTGAAGGAAAAGTTAAAGATCTAAAAACCAAGAAAAAAAAAATTAAAGGCAGGGATTCTGGTTGTGAGAATGAGAATACTTTCCATGAAAGCCCAGGTCTGTATTTTCCCTTTTGACTTTATGGGAAATGCTGATAAAATATAGCCAGTCACGGGTGTTTGGGGAGAGCGAGTGGGTCAGGGGAGGGTGCGTGATATTGCAGGACTTTACTTCTCTCTGTTGGGGTTTTCCTTTAGTAATTGCAACCTCAGTCTTAACTATCCTTTATTCTCAAATCTCAATGTTTTTCATACCCAGGATCAAATTCGCCACCTAATGCAAATGCATCTTAGAAGTATCCTTTTGTGCAAGTGTCTGAAAGAAGAAATCTTCAACTATAAGCACAAGAATGTAGCAACCATGCTTGTTAAAATTGGCCTTGAGGACTCCTCAGTATCTTTAGAGACCTTGTATAACACTGCATGACATCAAGTGAAAACCCAGTACTTGAAATAGTATAATAGCTAACATTTACTGAGCACTTACTACATACTAGTAACTTTTTTTTTTTTTTTTTGAGACAGAGTGTCACTCTGTCACCAGGCTGGAGCGCAGTGGCACAATCTTGGTTCGCTGCAATCTCTGCCTCCCGGGTTCAAGAGATTCTCCTGCCTCAGCCTCCCGAGTAGCTAGGATTACAGGCACCTGCCACCACGCCCAGCTAATCTTTTGTATCTTTAGTAGAGACAGGGTTTCACTATGTTGGTCAGGCTGGTCTTGAACTCCTGATCTTATGATCCACCTGTCTTAGCCTCCCAAAGCGCTGGGATTATAGGCATGAGCCACCACGCCTGGCCATACTAGCAACATTTCTAAGCACTTTACATGCATTAAGCCATGTAATACACTCAGCCACCAAATGAGGTGGGTAGTAATTTGTCATCACCATTTTTTTACCCTTTAAAACACTGTCTACATCTTAGTGTTCTGGCCCTTCAATATGGCTGTGTTTAATCATCATGAGTCAAAAAAGTAGTCGCACTGTAACCCTGTGAAGTTATAATTATTCTTATTATCTTACAGATGGAGAAACTGAGGCATAGAGAGGCAAGTAATTTGCCCAAAACACAAAGCCAGGAAGCCGCAGAATTTGTATTCAAGCCCAGAAGTCTGTCTCCTGATTTCAGCTGTTAATCCTCCTGAGGTCCTGTTTTTCTGCGGATCTTTTATCTGCCTCTCCCACCAGGATATATACTCCAGGGCCTTATGGGTCCAGTTCACCCCTATATTCTCAGCACTTAAGAAGGTGCCTGGGGAAGTGTGGGCACTCACTAAATGCTTGTTGAATTAAAACACTAATTTGAAAAGTAGTTTTTGAAATAAGAACTTCCCATTTCTGGGATTTATAAGACTTCAAATCTGATTTCTAGGGTACATATTTGGAGGTATGTGCAGGTAAGTAAATATAGCCTCTTCACAGTAGATTGAAAAGGTGAGGGGTTCTTTAGCTTAGCACTCTGAGCTATAATAGCCAATGGGGACAAACCCGTAAGATTTCCTTGCCACCACTGTAAGACTATGACAATACTGTTTTTTTCATTGTGTATTGTTCCTTAGGAGTGATGATGACTGTCATTTTTCTACTGCACTATGAGGAAGGGAGTGTCTTGGTGGTAAACAAGGTAAAGAGAAACAGGCTTTTTACTAAATTTCCTTAAGCCTTTCCACGTCTCTGACTTCCATCCCTGCTCTTTGCAGACACTAAAGAGAAAATTCAAAGGATTCCCAGCCTGTGGCAAACACTTTTGTTACAGAGCACTGGATGTATGCCTTTTTCTTGATGATAGAATTCTGATTAGTTTGGGGTACCAATGTATCCAGCCAAACACCCGCTTTTTCAGCCTCTTTTGCTGCTATGTGTAGCCATGCAGCAAGTTTCGATCAATGCAAAGTATGTAAAATTCTTTTGCTTTCCTGGTAATAGGAGACAAAAGTGGCTGAACCCTGTCTTTCCTCTTAATTCCAATTTGGGTGTGATGGCAGGAGCTTCAGCAGCAATCTTATAACTATGAAGAAATGGACAAGAGAATTACAGCAATGGCAACACTAACATTTTTCATAAATAGCAAATAATCAAAAAAGCAATAAAAAATAAAACCATGAAACTAACAAGAGAAGTAACAATAATAGTACAGCAGTGCTACTAAAATTCTAGCTAGCTATCACTGCCTACTGAGGACCCTGAGTTATAAAGCCTGTTCTTGTTTAAAAAAAAAGAAAAGAAAATTAGCATGCTTTGGAGAGATTTTACAGATACATTAACATCAGGCTAAACCTTCTTCCTTGACATTATTGGAAGACTTGAGAGAGATGTGAAAAGACAATCATCTTTTCATTCTGTGAATCAATATTATTTGATGCTCTGTGTGTGAACCATGGGAATCGTTTCACCTGCCATCAGGTATTCCTCTCACATTGAGGAAAACACCACCCCACCTGTTGTACAGATGGGGGCTTTGCCCAGAAAGAGAAAGCCACAGCTCTAGTTTCTAGCAGGCGATAGTATAGCACAGTGGTTAAGACCAGTGACTCTGGAATCAGAATACCTGAGTTCAAGTCCTGCCTCTACCACTTGTTAGCTGCATGGCCTTGGGGGATTGCTTGGCCTCTCCCAGCTTCCATTTCACTGTGAGGATGGTCATGTGGAAAGTGGGAATGGGGATCTAGGGATGTTGAGATGCAGTTGTCAGTGAAGGCCCATCTCAGGGTACTCCCATAGAGATTAAAAGAAATAGCTCCTCCAGCCCTAACTTGGATTAAGTAGCCTCCGGTTTGAAGTTTGTCAGGGCAAAGCAGCCTAGGTTAGGGGCCAACAAACTGTAAATCCACTTTTCAGGTTGAGGGTAAGGTCTACAAGCTAAGAACAGTGTTTACCTTTTTAAGGGTTTAGAGGGTTAAAGTTTATAAAGAAATAATTAACCAATAAAAACAAAGAAGCATGTGTGGCAGAGACCGTATGTAACCCATAAAGCCTAAACATTTATTATCCGGCCCCTTTACAGGAAAAGTTGGCCACCCCCTGACTGAGTTCCCACACCCCAGCCCTCGTTTTCTGAAGACATCATCTGTTATCTTCCAGTCCTGGCAAGGGTAGAGCTAGGGGTTGGTGGCTCAGGTGTCTTTTCTCCCATTCCCCACCTGGTTATTTAGGTCAGGCATCTGGACAGAGGGAAGGGAGCAGGGGACCTGGGCCACAGACTGTCAGATTATCTGAAGTGGTGGGGGTCTGTCATTTCCTGAGGCTTTCTGTGGAGTGAGCTCGCTGGTCCAATGAACCAAAGATCTTCTCTCAATGAAACCCGTAGCTGCAGCAAAGATATGTCAGGCAGGCTCTGGTGTACTAGGAAAAGTCCCACATATTGAAGTTAGGAGAAAAGTGAGTGAATTAACAAGCTAAGTCTTGGCTTGACCAGCAGGCCTTGGGTCACCCACCTTCCCTGCCACCCTCAGGAGCTGGCTCAGGGTCAAGTGATCCACGGCCACTGGTGCTCCTTGGGCAGGTTACTTACCCTTTCCATGCACCAATGCACCCCCAGCACTCACTCACTTAGAGAAAGGAATGTGGGCCTTCACCCAGCCCTTCCTCATCAAAGAATGGAGTGCTCCATTTGGGATATATTCTCAGGAATGAGGCATGTTTCCATTTGGAAATGTGGTCTGGACTGGTCCAGATGCCTTGCTCTTTGATACTCCGTCACTGCTACCCTCCCATCACATCAGTTTCTTTTCATTTCCATCCTCCAGGCCTTTACCCTTGCTAAGCTCTGCCTGCTGAATTCTTCCTCAGCTCCTCCCTATGTGACCTGTTCTCATCCTTTAGTACTCAGCTCAACTGCCACCTCCTCAGCAAGACCTCTCTGACCACAGCAATCACTGCCATCTGCCCTGTGCCTCTTTCAGTGTGTTTCTCCCAGGAGAATGTCAGTTCCACGACAGTGGACACTACAACGGACTCTCTTGCTCATCACTGTGTTCTCAGGGCATGGTCTATAGAGAGTGCTCAGGAATTCCTGCTTAAATGAATAAATGACTAATACATTTAATTTTGTGAACATTTATTATATGTGTGTTATTGATGAAATGACCAATACATGGTTCCCAGTAGACAAGTAACAAACAAAAAGCAGATGTCACATTTACCTGAAAAAGGAACACATTTAAAAAGTGATTAACCAACAAGGGAGTAAATCCTCCTGCAGTTCTGTAGTCCCTTACGTTGGTGTAGGGTTTGAGAATTTCTGAAGTGCTTTTCAATCTCTTCTTTCTTTGGACTCTTACACTAACTGCATGAGGAAGGCCTGGGTGGTGCAGGAGCTCCTCTGCAAAGGATGAAGCAGAGAGAAGGAGAAAGGTGAAGTGACTGGTTCTTTAGAATTCTTTCCCATTTCCCCACCCACTCAGTTATAAAAAATAAAAGAATACAGGGTTGTTAAATGGTAGCTCTGCAGTTCAAAATACCATTAAAACAGCAGATGTTTATCTAGGCAAAGTCTACAACTTTTGAGGTTTAGCTCCTAGGATTTCTTTCAGTATCAAAATGTAAGTATGCAAATAAGCTACAGAGCAAATACACCACACTCAGAAATCAATTACTCACTTATTTTAAATATCAAGAAGATTGGAGTGGGATGCATATCAAGAGTTATCATAGATAACATATTTTACAATAAATGACAAAAGACAATGATCAACCATTTATTTTGTTCCAAAGATGAAGTTTGATTTTTTTGTGATAAAATCTCATATGTCATGGATTATTTCTCTAGGAATAAAACAAAATGGTTATGTGTTCTAGGAAGGCACAGTATAAAATGACCAAAAAAAAAGGCACTACATTTCCAAGTAAAACCCGTTCTACCTTTCACTCCAATTAGCCAAGAGATAACTAGTTATGAGAATCCTCAAGTGCTAATTTCCTAATCAAGTAGTTATTTCTAGATCACTACTTTCTAGCAAAGTGTGATGGGGTAAGCCCCACTGGTTATGCTGTCCTTTGGTTGGGTCTTCTCTCCACGAAGGGGAATCCAGGACCCTTTCCCTCACATCCTGCCTGAGCAAGCCCTGTGTCTGCTGCCCTTGGAAGCTATTGCTCCCTGTGTCGCCCCACACAGTTTTCTCTGAGCTCCAAGACCTAGGATCTATTTCTTTCCTCCTTCCTTTCACTTCTCTTTCCTCACTGTTGTTGGTTAATAACAATCTGGGCTATCCTTGTAAATGGAATTTCACATCCTCCCATTGGCATAGTCCATCATTACTTGAGACCTGCCCCTGTATTTCTCAGAGACTATGGGACTCCCCTGACTCCCTGCCCTTTGCTGTGGCCAATTCATTGATGTCCATCTAATTAAGAGAGGATGAGAACTCTTGTTCTGGATTACACTGGGGCCTTAAGGCGTTAGAATTTGTTAAATCTTCCTGTGCACAAGGTAACATATTAAGCACTTTATATATATTATCTCAGCCTCCTCAACAATCTTTATTAACCCTATTTGTAGATATGGAAATGGAAGCTCAGAAAAGCTAAGAGAGTTGCCATAGACACACAGCTGGCAACTTGAATGAGATTTACGACACCCCAGAGCCTGTGTTCTTATCTTCAAGGCCATAAATCAATCTCCATTTCTGTTGACCCATACTCTATAGGCTGTATTCCAAGTCTACTTAATACAAGCAGAAAATCAAAGTATGCCTTTGGGGCAGAGGGAGGTGGATTCTAGGCCTCAGCTGTATCTGTGTCCTAGGGCTGCCATCACAAAGTATACAAACTGGGTGACTTAAAGCCATGGAAATTTATTCTCTCACAATCTTGGGACCAGAAGTGCAAATCAAGGTATTGGCAGGGTTGGAAGCAGCCTGACCACTGCAGAGGTGGCTGTTGGGAAGAAGTGGAAGATGAGGCTGGAGGGTCTGAAGGGAAGGACAGAGCCCTGTGTCAAGAGGGCATTGACCACAAATCACAAAACCCCAGTTAACACTGACTGGAGTGATGAGGAAATTTGCCATCTCACAAAACAGTGCATCTGTGGATACATTGGGCCCTGGGGTGGTCAGATCTGCAGGTCTGAGATCTTGTGGAGGACAGGCTCCTTTTCCACTCTGTGGGTTGACTTCCCTCCCCTTGGGGCTATAAGATGACTGCCCAGTTCCAGGGCTCACATCTACTCTTGACAATATAAATCCTAGATTTGGAATGAATGATCAAGTATTTGTAACCCTTTCACTTTCAATACATTTTGCCAAACTGCCCTCCAGAAAGATGTTCTAACATATAATAATAGAATTTGTAATTTATAATAATCCCATTAGTCACATTTAAGAATGTCCACTTCTGACATCCTCATCAACACTGGACAGTGATTTTTTATTAACCTTGGTCGGTGTGTCTGGCAAATTTATGATGCTAATACATATGTATTGAATTCATAAATTAATGAATTCTTGCTTTTTTATATTTCTTCACTTGTGAGTTACCTGTTAGTGCCCAGCTTTCTGTTGGTATGTTAATCTTTTGCTTACTGATTTCTAAGTGTTCTTTGTATATCTTTGTTTTTCAAATATATTACATTTATTCTCTTCTATTTATTGTTATGCTTGTAGTGTTTTCTGACTGTGTTTTTATGTGGTCAAACATATAACATATTTATCTCTATTTTTCCAGTCTGTGAATGATTTTATTTTCAGCAATTAAATCTTTAATCTTTTTGGAGTTTATTTGAGGGTCTAGAAGAAATCTAATTTATTTTTCTTCTATGTTTGGTCAATACTATTACTGACTAAATATCTCTTTTACCTACTGATTTGAACTACCACCTTATTGAGCACTAAATTTTAATTTTTCTTAAGTGTCTTTCTGGACTCTAATTTATTCCAATGAGCTGTCTTACAGCTCTAGATTGACTTTAGAATGCAATTGTGGTAATAAAGTGATTGTTGACATTTCCTTCGCATTACTGGGAATGCTTTCAATGCTTTTCATTTCAATATATTTCATTAAATATCGTGTTTGCTTGCTTATAAGTGGGAGCTAAACAATGGGTACGCATGAACATAAAGATGGGAACAACAGACACCGAAGGCTCCAAATGGGCAGAGGGAAGGAAGGGGTGAGGGTTGAAAAATTACCTATTGGGTACAATGGTCACTATTTGGATGATGGGCACTTCAGAAGCCCAAACCTCACCATTACACAATAAATCCATATAACAAAGCTGCACTTGTACGCCCTGAATCTAAACTAATCATCTATCAATCAGTATCATGTTTGCTATTGATTTCCTAATAGGGAAGAGTTTTGAATATTTAGTTCTCCAAATTCTTTTTAGAAATTATAGCTGAATTTTACAAATGCCTTTCAAGTTTTTATCAGGATCATGAGTTTTCTTTCCACTAACTTGTGTGATACATTGTTTTAATTGATTGCTAAATGTTGAGCCATCCTTACATTCCTGGAATAAGTTCTATTTGGTCATACTATATTACAGTTTTAGTACACTGATGGAATCAATTTGTTCTTCCTTTATTTTGAATAAAGGATGAAACACAGGTTCCCAGGGTGGTAGCATTATGTGCTCCTCTTCAGTGGGAATGGCCCACGAAGTCGTCCAGGCACCATTCTCTTTAGTGCTCCAGGTGATGACTTGGGTGTGGAGAAGCACGACTTCCATTGGGAGGCCCAGCACATGTCCTGGCCTAAGGCTCTGTGCCCCACAGGAGCCAATATCTGGTGAAAGAGCTCCACAGACAGCTTCCAAGGCCCCTGCACTCAGGAGAGCCCAAGACCGTGACACTCCACTAAAAATGGATAGTTCGTTTATAGTCATCCCAGCCCAGACACTTTGCCACCTAGGCCTACTTGATATTTCATCTTCATCTAGTGTGTAGGGGAACAGAGCTAAATAATGAACGGAAAAGCCAGATTCTCTCTCAGAAGGGAAGAGGCTGCATTAGCAATTTTACTTAGATCATGTCCATCGTTAAGGGAGTTCATTCTTCATTTTCCTTTTATGTGCCTTCTTTTTGGGGCACATAAAAAGTGAGTTAGGAAGAGTTTAAATAGTATGAGAATTTTCAATATTTCCTCACTCCTCCATAGAAAGGATTTTTCTTTTTTTATTTCCACAAAGCCAGTGACGAGACAGTCCCCAAGACGTAGTAATTAGAATTTTTTTGTTTGACAGTGTCTCACTCTGTCACATAGGCTGAAGTGCAGTGGCATGATCTTGGCTCACTGCAGCCTTGGCTTCTTGGGCTCAGGTTATTCTCCCACTTCAGCCTCCTGAGTAGCTGGGACCATAGGCACGCACCACCACACCAAGCTAATTTAAAAAAAAAATTGTATAGAGATGGGATCTCCCTCACATAGCTATTGTTATGTTGCTCAAGTTGGTCTCCAACCTCTGGCCTCAAGCGATCCTACAGCCTCATCCTCCCAAAGTGCTGGGATTACAGGTGTGAGTTACCACACCTGGCCATAATTAGAATTATTTGCTGAATCAATTATGTTCTGACAGAACTCATTTATAAAATGTGGGAATGATTACTTATGGAGGAAAATTTGTTGGTGTTTTCTATTTCTTCTGTTTTAATTGCTGTATTACATTGTCTACTTAATTTTTTTGTGTGCATTTTTGTAGGAAATAATCCCAGACATGACAAAGTAGTAATATTGTGCATTTTACCCATCTTTTCTCTTTAATAAAAATTGTGAGAAACTTGCATATTTGATTTTTTTCAGAGATTCAAGTTTTGCTTTTATTTATCAATTCTGTGTGTGATTTTTATCTTCCTAACTTAGCATTTTATGCTTTTTCATTGTTAATTTCTACCTGATATAAATTTATCTTATCATTCCTTTTCTAACTCCTTGAGTTGAATATTTGCTTCACCTTTTAAACAGATAGTAGCTGCAATTATCGAATACATTGTATGGTAGTCACCATGCTATACATCTTTAATGCATTATCTCACTGAATCCTCATAATACCACACAAGGCCATATAAAAGGTATTTATAGCAAAGTAGTTATGAGTGCAGACTTGAGACA